TCCACGGTTCGAGTCCTGAATCTGGTGGCTTGCTTTCTCGCTTCCTCTCTCTGTCATTCTCAACCTCTGTCTCTCTCTGGTAAAATTAAAAAATGAATGAGTGAATAAATAAAATAAAATAAGTAATTAAAAAAAAGAATGATTTGATTTCACTTTATTTATTTATTTATTTATTTATTTATTTTAATTTGGCCAGAGAGGGACAGTGTGCAAGCAAGAATGAAGGCGGAGGGCAGGGAGAGTGAGAAAGCAAAGCCAGCAGGTCCGGGACACGAACCGTGGTCAGACAGTTGGGAGTCCAGTGCCCTTCACCACCCTGCCACCTGCCGCGCCCCCCATGGGATTTCCAAGTACTCTTCATCCTGGTGTGCTTTGTCATCAGTTAGTGTTCTGGGAGGCGGGTCCCCCGTTGAACAAGGATGGGAAATAAACGCTGAATTTGGCCAACTTCGCACCCGCAGGATTTCCGGAAGTCCTTGCCTGGTTTGTTTGTTTCGTTTTGGAGAGATTTTTGCTATAGGTGTGTGCCCTCGCTGGAGAGACGGAGAGAGAAAAAGTGAGAAATCATTTTCCAGGGGCGAAGGGAGGGATGGCCACACTGTAGTTCGTTCTCCTCCATTTACTTCTTGGGATTTGGGGCACACACATGCACGTGGTGTGAGTTTTAAAGCACCAGGTCTGAGACTCGAACCACAGTCAATTCTGTGAGCGTACAGTGATGTAACCATTACACCATTTGCTGGTCCCCATAACCGTACTTTTTTTTTTTTTTTTTTGGAGGGGTTTTTGCTATAGGGTGCATGCACTCGCCAGAAAGAGAGAGAGACAGATAGACAGAAAGTGAGAAATTCCCCCACCCCGGGGGTGATGGCCACGCTGCAGTCCCTTCTCCTCCATTCTCCTCTCGGGATCTTGGGCACGCACGCACACTGTGTGTGTGTACCTGGTGTAAGTTTAAGCCACTGGGTCTGGGACTCGAACCATGGTTGACTACATGGGAGTCCAGCGACATAGCCATTACACCAACTGCTGATCCCTAAAATGAATTTTTAAAAAAATTATTTAAATATTTATTTATTTATTTTTATTTGACCAGAGAGGGAGAGAGCGAGAGAGAGAGGGGGAAAGTGAGAGAGCAAGCCGCCAGGTCTGGGACTCGAACTGTGGTTGGCCAGTTTGAGCAGGAGTCCAGTGCCCTTCACCATCATGCCACCATGCTGGCCCCAAAATAAATGTTTTAAAACAGAATTATTTATTCATTTTATGGACATATTTTCATTTGACCAGAGAGAGAGAGAGAGAGAGAGACAAGGTGAGCCCAGGTCCAGGATTCGAACTGCCGTCAGCCACGTGGGAGTCCAGAGCCTTAACGATTACATCGACTTCTGGTCCTCTTAAAGTGAATTCTTAAATTCGGGCTTCTGGGCTTTCCGTTTCTTCACGGTCTGTAGTGAGCGATCATTTCCACGGTTTGCCTTTTGCATCAGAGCGTTTTACATGCTAGTGAAAAGATGATGTCCTTCCGGCTTTGGGAGAAGGTTTCTTGTTCAGCCCAAGCCATGATAGCTTGTTAGCATCTCCCATCTGGAAGCCCGATCTCCCTTCCAACACCAGGGAGGCAGGGAGGCTGGGAGGCCGGGGGTCCGGTCAGCAGATGGCACCCGCCTGTGAGAAAGAGCCCAGACTTGTTTACTTCCAAGGTATAGCCTTGCGGTTTTGGGGGGGTGGGAGCCCTGAGCGAAACTTCCTTCCTTGGAGGGTTTCGTGGGGCAGTGTGTGTGTGTGTGTGTGTGTGTGTGTGTGTGTGTGTGTGTGTGTTCCTCCTTCCTCCTGCACTGCGGAGGAAGGTCTTCCATCCTTCTGGGCTGGGCAGGGGGCTGTTTTTTTCCTGGTGGGGGTTGCTGGTCCTCCCCCCACCTGCCTTTGGCAGCTGTGTTTTTTCTGAGAACAAACCTAAACATTTTTGGGGGCCTGGCGGGAGAGAGAAGCTGCCTTCGGATGGGGAACAGAACAATTAAAAAGAGGGCTGGCATTGCCGGCTTGGCAGAGGGGAGGGGGCCGTGGGAGGGGTGGGCGCTGTGGGCACCTGTCCCCCAGGTCAGGCAGCTGTGGCACCCAGTCCAGTAGTACTTTTCTGGGGCCACGGATGGTTTCTTTACGTTGAAGTCTTGGGACCAGCAGTTGTCATAATGGCTATGTCGCTGGACTCTCATGTGTCGACTGCGGTTCGAGTCTTAGACCCGGTGGCTTAAACTCACGCTGTGCGTGCGTGCCCAAGATCCCGAGAGGAGAATGGAGGAGAAGGGATTGCGGCGTGGCCATCCCCCCTGGGGGTGATTTCTCACTTTCTGTCTCTCCGTCTTTCTCTGTCTTTCTGGCAAGAGCATGCGCCCTATAGCAATTTGCTAAAAAGACCCCACAGAATCACCCACCTGTGATCTAGGGTGGGGGCAGGCACTGGAGCCCTGGGCTGCGGGTGTCCTGGGGACACGGCACCACCGAGTCCTTCCAGGGGGTCTGACAGCGGAGCGGCAGAACTTGCAGAGGAAATGATTTCATGGTGTGGAAGGAGCAAAACACATTCATTGCATTTCTCCTGACCACACGCAACCAGAAACCGTGCCAGACAACCCTTGGTGGCCCGCAGGAGTCAGGCAGGAGCCCCCTGAGTCCCCACAGCAGCCAGGGCTGCAGGCTAGTGGTCTTGGGCCGGGTGCCCTCCGGCGAACCCGGAGTGCCTGCACACTGCCCATGACAGGAGGGGAAGCCACAGGGGCCAGGGAGAGCCGCCGTGTGGAGGGGGTGCTAACGCTCTCCTATCCATCATGCCCGAGTAGACCAGATGTCCGGATCTGGCAACTCTCTCTCCCTAAACGCAGGGCCAGCAACGGAGTGAAAGTCAAGGTGGACTCTGTCCTTGCTTTAAGCTGATTCCTGGGGCTGTTGCTGTTTGTTTTTTATTTTATATGTTTTGCCATAAGGTGCATGTGCGCACCGGAGAGAGACAGAGAGGGAAAGCGAGAAATCATCCCCCGGGGGGGATGACCACGCCGTAATTCCTTCTCCTCCATTCTCCTCTCGGGATCTTGGGCACGCACGCACACGCACCCGGTGTGATTTTCAAGCTGCTGGGTCCAGGACTCGAACCGCGCAGGTGGCCATGTGGGAGTCTAGGACCATAACCACTACACCTTCCCAGCCAGTGCACCCCATGTGCTTAGTTCGGCTGGGAATTAAACCTTGATCTCCGTGTGGCTTCCAGCATTGTCACTATGGCTGGGCTTGCTTTTTCATTTTTAATGACTAGGTGAACTTAAGGTTTTTTTTTTTTTTTAATAATTATTTATTTAATTGTATTTCTTCATTTATTTTAATTTAACCAGAGAAAGACAGACACACAGAGAGATGGAAAGTGCCCCCATAGGGGGATGACCACACCCACAATCCCTTCTCCTCCACTCTCCGCTGGGGATTTTGGGCATGCATGCACATTTACCCAGTGTGTTTTTCAAGCCACCGGGTCCAGGACTCGGACCTCACAGTCGGAGGTCCCAAGCCACCATGTCACCTGATGGTCCAGTGATCTTCTCTTTAATGAGAGTAAAACTAATGCCATCTCCTGTCTCTCGCCCACAGGCGTTTACCCAGTGGATATTCTGGAAGATGACGCTGAGGGCCACCAGGGGGCAGCTTTGGCTCACTACACTTCGCTTGCAGAAGGCGCTGGGATGTCTTCACAGGTGTTCTTGCTTCCGACTGGGGAACAGGTATTATATTATATATTATATTCTCTTCCCCGGAGCAGAGCGCCGTCAAACCCAATGTACAGAGTAGGAGGTTAACCTTCTGCAGCTCATTCTAGAACGATTTGACTTTGAGAAGCAGAAGGAATCCCGGATTGGGGTTCTGGAGCTTTGAGTGTGAGTCTAGTTCTGCCTGGCAGTGAGTTGGACTGGCCGTGGGAATCCCACTCCTACTACCCCTTAGTAGCTGTGTGACCTTGAGCAAGTGTCTTAGCCTCTCTGGTCCGGCTGTTCTCGTCTCTCACACGGGAGCAATCGCAGTGCTTGTCTCGTAGCGTTCGGAGATGCTGCGGTCCTAGCTGGCTGGGCCGCAGTTTCTCTGTTTGTAAAATGAAGGGATTGGTTGATCTTTTGGTCTCGAAGGTTTGAGTCCATTCTAGAATTTTGTGGATGGAAATGAAGCCATACCGGTTATTTATTTATTTATTAATTTATTCAGTTATAGGGTGTGTGTGCTTACTGGAGAGAGAGTGAGAAATCAGCCCCCAGGGGGCAAGTCCACGCCGCAGTCTCTTCTCTTCCATTCTCCTCTCTGGATTTTGGGCACGCATGAACACGCACCTGTGTTTTCTAGTCCCTGAGTCTAGGACCTGAGGCACAGTTCAGCCATGTGGGATCTAGCACCTTAACCACCACACCACTGGCTGGCCCCACCAGTTATGATTTTTTAAAATAATTATTTATTTATTCATTCATTTATTTTATTTTGACCATACATACACACACACACACACACACACACACACACACAGGGAAAGTGAGAAAGCAAGCCACCTGGTCCGGGACTTGAACTGTGGTTGCCTGAATAAGGAGTGAAAGGTAGAGAGAGAAGTGAAAACCACGTAGTTCTTCAGAACTTTAGATAGGGTTGTAAGTGACATTTTAAATTACCTTTAAGACCTTTCCCCCTTATTCATTTAGTGAAAAGTATACGTGAATTCTGGATAGTCCCTGGTTAGTCATCTTTCTTCAGATTTGAGGCTGATCTGCTGAAGAGATAAAATCTCTTTCTATAAGATGTCACTCATATGGGGCCAGCAGGTGGCATAGTGGTTAAGGCACTGGCCTACCACATGGTCAACCACAGTTTGAATCCCGGGCCCAGCGGCTTGCAACTCTCGCTGGGTGCATGTGTGTGCGTGCCCAAAATCCCAAGAGGAGAATGTAGGAGAAGGGATTGTGGTGTGGCCATCCTCTACGGGGGAATGATTCCTCGCTTTCTGTCTACGTCTCTCTCTCTCTGTCTTTCAAGCAAGTGCACACACTCTATAATAAAAATCTATCAAAAAAGATTTCACCCTTACCACAAATTGTTACCTGACTGGCAAAGTACAGTGAGGACGACGGGGCTTTATTTCTGTGTACTAAAGGTGTCCCCGAGTCGATGAAGACAACGGCGTGTACAATTTACAGCGTGGTCTTGAGAGATGGAAGATGCTGGTTCAGACAGTCCGGTGGTTGATCTGCCGAGGGCGGTCGCTGTTCTCACTCTTCCAGCGCCCCCTAGTGGCTGCCGAACCAGGAGAGGAAGCCAGCTCTGTGTGTGTGTGTGGGGGGGTGCTGGGTAACCGAAGGGTGGAGAAACACAAGTTAGCTCCGAATTCTTTAGGATGTCGTTCCCGTCATCTGCTTTCATTTCACGCATTTTTATGGATTATATTACTTAAAAAAAAATCCCTAATATGCATGGAGTATGTTCGCGGAGAGAATAATTTCAGTGTTATTTGCAAATACATAATATAAGACAGTCGCGAAAATGGAGTAGTGAGGGCGAGATAGAAATACTGAAATGACTACACCTAGCCACCCTCCCCTTTCCAAAAAGAAGGTTGAGGCCGGCTGGTGACATGGTGGTTAAGGGTGCTGGACTCCCACATGGCCAACCGTGGATCGAGTCCTGGACCTGGCAGCTTGCTTTTTCACGTTCTCTCTTTCTCTTTCTCTCTCTTTCTGTGTCCTGCTCTGGTCAAATAAAAAAAAAAAAACAACATACATGCATGGATAAATTTAAATAAAATTTAAATAAATAAATAGAAGATTTGGGGGGCCAGAAGGTGGCATGGTGGTTAAGGTGCTGGACACTACCACATGGCTGTCCACTATTCGGGTCCCGGACCTGGTGGCTTGCTTTCTCATTTTCCGTCTCTCGTTCTCTGTGTCTCTCTATGGTCAAATTAAAAATAAATACTTTTTTTTTTTTGGAGAGGTTTTTGCTATAGGGCGTGTGTGCTCGCCAGACAGACAGAGAGAGACAGAGAGACAGAAAGTGAGAAATCGCCCCTCGGGGGGATGGCCATGGCGCAGTCCCTTCTCCTCCATTCTCCTCTCGGGATCTTGGGCACGCAGCGTGAGTTTAAGCCGCCGGGTCCAGGACTCAAAACACAGTTGACTACATGGGAGTCCAGTGACATAGCCATTACGCCAACTGCTGGTCTCAAAAATAATTAAAATTTTAAAAATAAGTAAAAAATAAGGTTTGGTGACCATGATCATTGGATTTCCTACCATTTCAGCGGTTTGTTAAAAAAAATGGGAACCGCTTCTTGCCACTAAACATGTGGAAATCATCTAATCTAAGGGGTAGCAGGTGGCATGGTAGTTAAGGCACTGGACTCTCACGTGGACAACTGAGGTTTGAGTCCCAGACTCAGCGGCTTAAAATTCACACCAGGTGCGTGTGTGTGTGTGTGTGTGTGTGCCTAAAAACCCAAGAGGAGAATGGAGAAGGGATTGTGGTGTGACCATCCCCCCTGGGGGGTGATTTCTCTCTGTCCTTTTGTCTGTCTCTCTCTGGCATGTGCACACACTCTATAGCAAAAATCTGTCTCTGAAAAGAAAGAAAGAAGAAAGAAAGGAAGAAAGATGGGACCAGCAGTTAGTGTAATGGCTATGTCGCTGGACTCCCATGTAGTCGACCGCGGTTCGAGTCCTGGACCTGGTGGCTTAAAACACACGCCGGGCGCGTGTGCGTGCGTGTCCAAGATCCCAAGAGGAGAATGGAGGAGAAGGGATTGCGGCGTGGCCATCCCCCCTGGGGGCTGATTTCTCGCTTTCTGTCTCTCTGTCTCTCTCTGTCTGTCTGGTGAGTGCATGTGCCCTATAGCAAAAACCTCTCCAAAAAAAGAAAAAAGAAAGGAAGAAAGAAAGAAAGAAAGTATAATCTGGAAGGATATCGAATCTCCTCATTGCCTGTAACAAGTTTAATTTCTCTTTTTTTTTAATCTGCATTTTTTTTTTATTCCGGATTTCTTTAGAAACAAAAGCAAAAATGAAGGAGTTTCTGTATATGATGTGACATCATTCTGATCCTTCCTCACCCCCCAGGTTTTTGCCATAGGCACGAGTTTCAAGTTGCCAGATCTGGGACTTGAACTGCGGTGCCGGCCATGCGGGAGTCCAGCACCTTAACCATCATGCCACCTGCTGGCCCCGTGTACTGCCACGTTTGACTGGTATCCACACCTGAGGTCAAGTGTGGAATTTTCCACTAGTGGTGTCAGGTCAATGCTCAAAAGTTTGAGATTGGGCCAGCCGGTGGCATGGTGGTTAAGGCGCTGGATCCTACATGGCCAACACCACAGTTTGAATCCCGGGTCTGGTGGCCTGGAAAAACACACCAGGAGCATGTGCGTGCCTGCCCCAAGTCCTGAGAGGAGACCCGAGGAGAAGGGACTGTGGTGTAGCCATTCTCCCCTGAGCGTGATTTCTCCCTTTCCCTTTCTTGCTTTCTCTCCCTCTCTCGTGTGCAAGTCCATGTGCCCTGTAGCAAAAATCTCTGGAAAAAAAATAAAAGTTTTGCATTTCGGAGCATTTCGGAGCATTTCGGATTACAGAGGAGTGGATTAGGGATGCTCAGCCCGCACCGGGTCCAGTGGCCCTGTCACAGCCTCCTTGTGGACTGAGCTGCACGTGACCTCCGTGGGGGGGCTGGCTCTAGGACTCCTGATGCCAAAGGTCAGGAAGTGGCTGAGACGTTTAATGGGCCTGAGGGGTTTGCGAGGAGACCTGCTACAGACGTTTACGGGCGACCTGCCTGCCCAGCTCGGACGACACCTTCTTTTAGAATTTTCTTTTACTCTCCCTGATTTTCAAAACAGACTCTCTTTTTTTTTTTTTTAAATTAACTTATTATTTTTCAATTTGATAAGAGAGAGATAGAGAGAAGTGAGAGAGCAAACTGCCAGGTCCAGGACTCGAACTGTGGTCAGCTGTGTGGGAGTCCAGCACCTTAACCACCATGCCACCTGTATATGGGCGTTTCAGAGGAGGCCCTGGGACAAGCTCAGGGTTAGAGGCTCAGATGCCCGAGTGGAGCTTCTGCACTAGTGCTGTCAAGGGGCCGGGGCTGACCGTGTAGGGCTGCATGTCCTGAGATGGCTCGCGGGGACCCCACCAGGGCGACAGGCAGGCAGAGTGGCACGCAGTGGAGGCAGGTGTGTCCCTGGCTGTCTCTGTAGAGTGACCACCGGGAGAAGTGGACCTGAAACGAGGGTGTGGCCTCTGCTTTGGTAGGATTCACAGGCTGCTGGGGGGCCGATCTGTGGGGTGGAGGGTAAGGCAGGCGGAGTTCC